TCCACATGGAACGTTATTATCTTGGCCATGGTTCCCCCCCCACACTCCTCCTGCCATCCACCACTACTTCTTACTTGACTGAATGTAAAAGTCCTTTGCATCCACATGGAACGCTATTATCTTGGCTTAGTTTCTGAACAGTCTAACTTGGCTTCTGAATCGACTGTTTTGGTTTCTGAATCGGCCGTTTTGGTTTCTGAATCAGCTGTTTTGGTTTCTGAATCGGCTCTTTTGGTTGCTGAATCGGCTCTTTTGGTTTCTGAATCGTAGTTGCTGAATCGCCTGATTTGGCTTCTGAATCGGCCGACTTGGTTTCTGAATCGGCTGTTTTGGTTTCTGAATCGGCCGACTTGGTTTCTGAATCGGGACTCGCTTGGTTTCTGAATCGGCCCGTTTGGTTTCTGAATCGGCTCATTTGGTTTCTGAATCGGACTGTTTTGGTTTCTGAATCGTAGTTGCTGAATCGGCCATTTTGGTTTCTGAATCGTAGTTTCTGAATCGGCTGTTTTGGTTTCGGAATCGTAGTTGCCTGATCGGTTGGTTTCTGAATCGGCTAATGACCCCCCCCGAAACGGTTTTCATTGGATAACTGTGTTGCACTGTGCCACCGCAAGCCCTCTCCAGGTGCTCATGACAAATTTGCACATTTATAATGGATTGAGTATGATTGAGTAACCTGGTTGTTCAACATGACATCAAATGACATGTTTGAGCTTTTTCCCTTCGCACCTGACGGTACGCAACGAAGGCGGTGCCATCATGGTACTGAAGCTCCAGGCTTTCGGCGAACTCTCCAGTGACCTCCCGATGGACGATGAAACACATCCGGTGATATCATGGGTGGAGCCCTTCTCGAACAGACTCTTCGCCAGTGCCGAGTGATGCCTAGTCGGCTTCTCCGCCAAGTGGCGCTTCTGCCTCCTTGCCCCGTCGGTCCTGCCTCTGATTGCGTCACCTCCACACAGCCCACCTTTGTAGAAACGCGAAGGTCACCGTTGCCACCACCAAAGCCTGGGACAGTGAGGGAAGGATGTTGCGAAGTTGACTCCACACTTGTCAACACATCAAAAACAAAGTTTGGCAAAGATGATCAAATATGTTGGAGTTGGACCGCAGGCTTCCTAGTACTGTTATATATGCATTCTAAATCTCAAGAGCACAATTCCGCTGACCTAGCATGATCTAGCCTTCCTTGCCAAGCTCGGCCGAGGTTCTAAAGCCAATGTGACAGGCACCAGGCGCACAATGCTGGCCAGAAGCCCAGGAATTCCCAACATCCTGCAAAGGTGAATCAGCCAAAGCATGCCAAAACCATCAAAGATGTCAAAGGCTTTAGTCGGCCGACTTCGGCACAAATCTTGCCCATGCCACATGATGCCACATCTGCTTACGTCAGAGTCAGAGCAGTAAGTCGAACACATAGATACAGACCACGGAGGTGGAAAGTGTCCCTTTTTGTTTTTTCTCAGAGATTTTGCATGTTTGTTTCTAATACATTTTGAGACAAAGTGACTCAACCGTCTCCTTGAAAACATCGTTGCTGCTGGACAAAGGCCCAGGATACGAGAAGGCAGCACCATTGGGAAGTGGATCGCCTGAACGAGACCGAGCCCCAGGGCCCGAGCGGTTGGAGACCCATGGAACACAACGGAACACAACGCGTGCGTTCCTCCAATGTTTATGAGCCGTTCCTCTTTCTCTGTGCATGTGCCTGTCTAGATACTTGTGCCGAAGTACTTGATCGAGCATGAGACTGGATGTTTTCTACACATGGCCAGGTGAGGCAGCGAGGCAATATCAATCCCCGCTTGCGAATCAACAACATGTAACTACAAACTGTAGTATGACCAAACAAAGCTTGAACTCTTGAACTCCTGGATCGAACTGATTTTCTATCATGTTCCTTTGAGGCGGCCTTGTACACTTAGCAACTTGCAGGCTCTCAATATTGATCTCCGAAACCGTATTTCTGAGGGTGGCTTCTTTGGGTACTGTCAGCATGGTCCCTTCGACACGGAAGGTTTTGAAATTGAGCAACATCTATCCCCTTAGTTCTCTCCGTTCGATTCCCAACGCCGCCTTCTTGCACAGTCGACCACAATGGATCCAAATACGGTGAAGGATACACGTCCACTGGGTGTGTGCCTGCGCAAAGACTTGGCAAATGCATTCAATACCGATTCAATACCCCTTTGCAACTTGGGAGGCAAAGGGTATACATCACCTTCCTGAGTCTCCCAGCATGTAACATCCGAAAACATCCGAATGCGTTGGATTCTCCAGTCTGCCACCGATGTCATAGGCACAATTCTCCACCTTAGCAATTGGGTTTAATTTATTTCTAATTCTAATTCTTGTTTCTAATAGCTTCTTGTTCCTAGTAGTAAGGCCAGGAGCCCCTAGTAGCGATGCCCTTGCTACTAGGAGCAAGAAGAATGCGGACTTTTACATATTCAATGAAGACTATGGACCTGTCAGAACTTGGCACCGGATGAGAATATGGGATGGCTGAGTCCAGAGTCATCTCCTCAGCTTTTCAGAAGCTGTGTCTACGACTTCCACACAAATGGTTGGAGGCCACGACAAATGCCTGTTGTCACCTGTGCTGCAAAGTTGCGCCCTGATACACAAAGTCCAGTGTCTTCAATGTACCATCATTTCGGTTGGATCCATCCTCCAGCAAGACGAAAATCCGGTATGCCTTCACAAGACACCCATCAAATTGGACATGTCTCGCAAGCAAACCATGCAAAGCGGTGTTTGCCCACCTGGCCGAGCTCGAAGGAGCAGTTGAGCAAAAAAGAAATCTTCACTTCTTGACCTCAACATGTGAGATGTCAATAGATGTCATGTAAATTCATGTAGTCTTTATTCTGGTTTCGACATCTTTCAAGGCATGAAGCCTTTGACAGCGCCACAGCCACAAAGGAGAAGACTGAAGGTGAATTCCTAGATATCTCCCGTGGATCTATCATGGCAGCTTGGCGAGTTATACAGAAACTATAAATAGGATCGCTTGCGACCGCTTGTCTTGCACACTGTTTTGTTTTTCTCATTTTTGCATCAGGACCGCTTGTGTCAACAAATCCTGCAATCCTGCAATGTACATTGAGACTGGCACCGAGAATGGGTGTCTCGGCAGACTGACAAGCGCCACCTTCCGAGCTTGCTGCTATATTTCAATCCCAACACTAACGAGGGCACCGTATGCATTGCAGTTGGACAAGGACTCGTCAAACAAGCATAGCGATGGAATCTGGCATTCCAAGCGCATTATATAGATACATTTAAGACAGAAGCTACGAATGGCTGCAGCTCGAGCCTTCCGCGAGGTACATGCTCTTCACGCGCTGGCTCCAAATGGAATAGTCACCATCAGCCTGGACCTCACAAAGATCTGCACACATGTGCACCCTGCCGTTAACAGCTCAACTTGCAGATTGACAAACCTGGCCAATCACTGCAAGCTTAGATGTTCAAGATCAATGCATGCTGGAGTATTTGTCCGGCTTGGATCAGCTTGGCCTGATCTGCAAGTCCGTTGGCCAGAGCGACCGCATATAGCCACTCAAAGCCCTAACAGCAAAACCACATGGTGAGATGATCAGACATCCCCAACACCTTCGTAAATGCCTTTTCATTACCAAAAGTGGCAATATCAGATTCATGGAAGAGCAGCTGACATTCAACATCATGCAAAAAACGTAACTCTTCTCCTCTCAGCCATTTGTGATTGCATGAAGGCGGGTTCTCAAAAATACAAATAACACCAGAAACAAGTTGCATCTATTTCAATACGGGAGTGCACCGGTGTGGCCTCGTGGCTGGGAATGTACTGTATCGCCACTGCTGTCATGTTGCGGAAGTACAAAAGAGGGCCTCAGCATGTGTAGATTAGTGACGTCACAAGCAGGAAGACTCTTCACACAAGTCAATATCTGTATCTAATATCTAGGGCTTGTACCTTGCGTAAAAACCACTGAGGCAATCATGAAGTCAATATGGGCCGTCTGACAGCGGTACAAAACCATTAAAATGCGTGTTTGTTAGCAAAGCTCTGAAGTCGCCTCTGGCAAGACTGACGTCTCATCTTCTTGTAGGATCCAAAGACGGTACTGGTGAACTCAGTGGTGCGAGAAGTTTCGAGAACCGGGAACCGCTTGGAACTTCTCTGATAGATCCATTGAAGAACAGAGAAGTTCCAAGTTTTCCAAGTCTCTGTGCCTTGCTTTTCATTTTAGGGACTCGGGCCGGAAGTATAACTATATAATTCTCTGATGGTTCCAAAGCAACACTGAAGATTCCATGAATTTGCCACATCCTCCGAACGCTGGTCACGCTATACAGTATTTCTTGTGAGATCCAACGACAGCGTCGTACTTGCACCATGTAGCAACAAGAGCCTCTGAAGTTGTCTTAACACCGCTTTGCACGAGGTGTGTAAGGATGTAACGTTGGTGACGGATGACACCAGTAGCATGTTTGCGGTTTTGTACTGAGGCCGGGACGTCCTCCCACGTCAAGAGCACAGCCGGTCAAGTGGAGCGTTGTATTCTCAGCAGGAGACGCACAGGAGAGAAACATATCAAATCCAAACAATGCAAATCTACAGCCATCCACCAGCCATGCGCCAAATGCAAGGATACACAGTCACAATGCTGAGAACAGCCTCTTGAGAGCCCGACCGTACATGCGGCCATTTGATCTCCGGCAATTTGACAGCCCGACCCACCTGAGCTGTGGAGAACCTGCGGCCTGAGTCTTTTTGAGTATCCATACACCGCATACGCATCCTCCACCTACACTCTCAACAGCACTCCGACTCAGATCTGATGATCTGACCGTCCCCACCATGGACAACCATATACTAGTACAGTGTTCTTCCGGATGTCTACATCGGACGCGACATTCATCGACGTGACATTCATCGACAACAGGGATTGTCTATCTGGAGGCTTGCCAAGACTGGTGGTTGAGATTGGAACCAAGAGTCCTGCCAGGGGTGTGTCTGGGCCAACGTCCAACAAGATCCCGCACCCCATGTACCCCAACAAACCACTGCCTGACCCATAGTGTGTTAGGTTTTACCAATAATTGCCATTTCATGAGCTCTCGTCTGCTCAACCATTGCCAATATCTGTCAACCCACCTCATTTACAATAGACAAGCTTTAAAAAGCGCCCTCCAATTGCAAGTGAGACTCCGATAGCGTTGCTCAAGGCTTGGACTTGGGCGCTAGTCATCCCCTGAGTGGAACATTTGAGGCCATTGCTTAGGCAATACTTACGGCAATGCTTGCAGCATCTTTGGGTTTACAAATAAGCACATCAAGGACCAATTTCTGCAGACCAATTGCTACTACTTCTGACTCAGACTAATCAGTCTGCTCTACGTACAAAGGACGTGACCACCAAAGTGCTTTGCAGCAAGTTCAAGCTGAGGCAACTGGGGTTTGGACCACCACTGCCTTGGGCAAAGAATGCTTCAGCTCTGTCTAGTGGAGAACCCCCTTCTCTTTCTATATATATATAGTCATATCATTGTCTCTGTACATATATATAAATATCTCAACGCCTTACAGTCCAAGATGCCGTGGTACTGGTAATGATCATGGTAATGGGACCCTTTCGCAAGGGAGCAAACTCCACAGAAAGGCCGTCCTGCAAAGAGTTGATGCGAAAGGGAATGCCAACCGTTCAAAACCGTTCAGAACTGTTTTTCAAGCGTTTCTCACCTCTGAGACTTGGAAGAACTTGGTGATGACCAATTCGGGTACCTCGAAACAAGGACTCGCCACAACGCCACTCGAACGAGAAGGACTCGCCACACAGCCTCATAATAATCCAACATTAGGGTGCCCTGTTCGGGAGTCCTCGGTTTGGAAAGCAAACCGCACGAGTAATGTCCAAACCTGTGGCAAAACCGTGCAAGACTCGCAGCGTTCAAACAAAAGCCAAAAGCTTCTCCAACGAACTTTGAAGGACACTGCAGTGCCGGAGTGCACCATGGCATGACCAAGCTTCAAGCTCGTGTTCTCCAGCGTTGGCACATTCTGGCAGAAGTCGACAAGGTCAATGGAGGTTGGAGTGGTCTGCTCTGCCAAGCTGGACTTTGTGTAGACTGAGATATAGCTGTATCCTGGTGAGAAAGGCCCAACTAAAAATTAGCCAATGAAATGAAACTAATTAGCCAAAAAAATCTGCCAAGCCCAATAAATGCTCAAATCAAGCCAAGCTCTGACTTCTCGTGATCACCGACAGCAGTTCTGCGCGACTCCTGACTGAGGTGTCTGAAGGCTCAGGTCAAAGTAATTTGCGCTTGAGGCCACTTCAAACCTTGGGCACCAAAAGGGACAAGGACATACAAGGACTAATTAAGTGCTGGGGCAGCCATTGGCATAAACACAGAGATCAAGCCCTTTTCTTGCTTGCCGAAATGATTAGACAGCACAAGTTCTCAGCTTGCTCATTTGCTTCGTTCATGTCTGCAAGGTGCCAAACATCAGAGTATGAAGCCGACATGGAGCTGCCCATCCTCTTTCAGTCTTTTTCCCATCTGCAAATGGCTTGGCTTGGCAAATGGTGAGCCAAGTGGCTCTTGCCTCCGGCTGCCGTATGTAGCCCCTGGGAAGTTGGCAAAGTAGCCGACGTAGAAGCTGACCTCGTCCGTAATCCAAGTGCCATATCCCACACTTGGTGTTTTTCGGCTCATCCTGGGATGGAACCTAAAAGGAACATTCAGATCACCTCCCGGACGTTCGAATGTCCTCTCCCGTTGCCTCGGAGGTGTCGTTGGGATGTTCCCAGCTGATTTGCCCACCAAGCACGTCAATGTCCTGTGGCGGTTTTTGGCGGTTATGCGGTTCTTTGATTGCTTAGGTTTCACAAAGGTTTTGATGCGATTTTGGCACAAAATTTTAGACCTGAGACTGAGAGTTTACTGTATCTAATTCCGGTGACCGACTCTGAGGTGGCACTCATTCAATTGTTGTTCTCGAGTGCAAAGTCCTGATCGATATCATCAAACACCACACCAGAGACCGATGCGATCTCATCCTAAAAGGACTCAGCAAAGAGGAGTCAAGCGGCAGTGAAGCATTGTTTGGGAAAGATCTTTTGCAATTCAGCAAAGTGAACAACACACGCGAGATCTGTGCCCTTGGTAGTCTTGTGCGAGCTGCTGCTTGGTGGTACTTATCAGAAAACACTCTGACTCTCAAGATTTTGCAAGTCTCGATAATTGGTAGTGCCACTGCCGTGGATTGTTCCACCAAGCTGGACTGTGTGTAGATTGCCACTTCCTTTGCCAATGCCAGATCACCGTCAAAAGAACCGGATCCGAAATGCAGCTGTTCGCCATGATACTTGCCTTTGATGAGTTAGGAGGTAGCTGCAAACTTTTTCAACCTCGCCTGCCAACTGGCAATGGCGGTCTCTGCCGGTATAAACTCCTCCAAAGCAGCAAAAACTGTTTCGGTTTGAAACCGCACATGTAACACATGTAATGGAATACGGATATCATGTAGCCAGACATTAGTAGTCGCTTTGTCACAGTTTTTGTACAGTTCACCGTGGAAACGCTGGGTTTAAGAAGTCCCAGAAAGTCCTTGCCTTTGCTTTTTCTCAATGGAACCGCAGCTTCAAGCTCAGCACCACTTACAATCTTCAATTTGCATCTATTTCCCAACTTCTTCGCAAAAAACGATGTAGTGAACTTAGTGAACATTGGTGAACGATGCCTGAACGATGTCCAAACGTTGCCCCATCCTATGCCCACACTCATGTGAAAAAAATAAAGCTATTTGCGTAATTTAGACACAGGGCAATAGGTGACAGTGGGGTTTGTAGTGAACCCTTGCCATGACGAGCCCTTTCCCAATGGTGACATATTTCATCCAACAAAGGAAGCCTGACCTTTAAGCCCAATAGAAACATGGCAACACGACCCCGAATGACTCGCGTAGTCGTGGGTGTGCCACTTATGTCATCGTGGATGAATCAATGGCACTTCTCAGTGTTTTGTAGATGCATATCTTTTGTCTCAGATCCTTTTTTCTGCATATTTCTCCTCCTTTTTTTGAACATTTACATGCGTTCACATTTAGAGTTCACAAGCGCACCACTCCCTCCAACCCCCAAAAAGTTGTCTCATCAGTTTTCACCGCGCCAGTGAGCTCACAAGCGAGCAACCGCGAAGCCTGCACATCTTGTTTCGACTCCACCGGTGGCTTAGCTCTTGGAGCCACCAACACATATATAAGGCAACTGTGCAATAAACAGCTTCGACAGTCCTCTCTGACTAGCTCCGGCAATCCGGACGTATAGCAAGAAGTACTTGGGCAACTTTTGGCAACATCCGGCATGGCTGACGTCACAATCAAATCGCGAGAACGTAGGAGAGGCCGGAGAGGCCGACTCAACACAAACAAAGAGGCCGTGACCCTTGGTGGTATGTACGATTGTGGTATAGATTCGTCCCACACAGACAGCCAACACAACCACAAAAATTCCCCGTACTCCTCGAGACAACAAAAATCTAACACCCCCAGCGCGGCGAGACCTAATGAATCCTTGACCGACGTCGAAACCACGACAGAAACGGAACATGTTAGAACTGGCGGAACACGAACGCCTCTGCGAGTCACGAGAGGTCGTGGCACCAAAAACATCATATTCATGATAAGAATCCAGCATTCGCTTGCGCTTCTGAAAAAAACACTTCCTACAGTCGGGTTCTGCAAGGAACTATGCACTTCCCCAGTTCGAGCTACGACTTCAACTAATCCTGCATGCTTTTGTCTGATTCACTGATTATAGTCTGAATATTCTCCTTACTTGTGCACTCCAGATAGGATCAAATAGGTTATTATTTGCACATAGTGTTTAAAGAATGACCTGAGAGGCCATTTTATACGGGAAACACATGTTCATGTTATAAGCAAACAAGTGTGGAGGATGTCTGAATAAATCCTCACGCGAGAAGTTCACCACCGTTGCCAGATCCAAATTCCGCTAACAATATGCGAATGCTGCTGACTTTGTCTACACTGTACAAAGATTACTTGTACAGCTTTGGCGATCAATGGCCTACATGGTGTAGAGATATATCCGGAAGACAGTTAGCAAGTGGGAACCAAACAGCTAGCCCTTTCCCTCTCCCGACATTCCTGTCCTGCTCCACCCCAAGTGGCACTAGGCCACCAGGACCATCTCCTGCTATCTGTGAACTTGAAGATGCATCTCGCAGGAAGACGTTGTAGTATGTCACCTGAGTTCAGAAAACATGTGAACATTGTTGATCATTGTGTTCCTGTGTTGGAATGCTCAAGGCTCAAAAAACACACTATATCAGGCGTTACAACGTGCCTTGCCTGCAGGGAGTCTGTGGGTGCTGTCCAAAAAATGTAGCCACCCATTTCATCCCTCAGGTGCCGGTGCCAGACTGCATTGGCACACCACTGAGAGAAATATGAGTGCTGGATGGTCCCTCCAATTTTGCAAAAGGCATAACATCTGTGCCGCAATCTGTGCCAAGCGTCGCATCAAGATCCTTGTCTTGGAAGAGGATGTTGGATACACTTGCATCTGTATCCACAATTTCCTCACTGAGCCATGTGCTTTCACAAGTCGATTCTGCCACGTTCTGCCCACCTTCAAGCTACTTGTTGGCTGCAACATCCAACATTTGTGAGTCTCAATTAGATTAAACATTATGCACATATTACCCTTGCGCCCTAGTTGTGTGCCGTAGTTAGTTGAGACATCCAAACAGTTTTTTTGAATCATGTTGAATTTGTGAAAGCTGAGACCAAGCTCAAAAGCTAAGTAAGGCTCTGTGGTCGAGGGAGTGCTTTGCTCCACCAACGAGCTTGCAGCAAAAACTGCCACATGAGTGTGGGGGGCGTAGTACAGCTCTGGCTGGACGGACACCTGGGGAATTGAGGGGGACATAGGGGGACACAGAAAAACAACTGTACCAGCACCACTTATGACAAAGTTTGATCAACGTACTGTACTCGACAAAAAACGATCGCAATAACACCCAACAGCCAGATTGATCTTGTTTGAGCTGCATTTGGGATCAATCCGGGGATGTTCCTTTTCTTTGACTCAAGATTGGAAGCCACCAGGAACAAGAAGCTACTAGGTTGGAGGCCATCGCTACCAAGACTTCTCTCGATCCGCTGTGCGCTGTTGATCGTGTCGTCTCTGCCTCTCTCGTGCTCCACGGCCCATTCCCCAGCTGTGACCGATTTCCGAAGTCAGAGAGGTACACCTCAACTGCGAAGAACTAAGTAGTAACAACCTCCGACCGGTTTCTGAAACAAGTAATGACAGGACCACAGTGTTTGAGCTGGCAACATATATGTACCAACCAAAGTTAACGCAAGAAACAAAGAAGTGCTCCACCAATGGTCGAAAATCTGGCACTGGGATGCTCCATGAAATGACACCTTGCCAGGGCAAAAACTCATCAGCTGCTTCCGTACACTTACAGTTCGATAAGCCCCAAGAGCAAGGGATCCTCGAAGCACCAAGCGCTTTGCACGTGTTCAAATAAAGAAGCGCCTCCGATTTGAGTGCCGTCCAGGTCTTTGTCAGTGAAGTTCACCTCGGCCGACCACCGAACGTCTTGAGGTGTTGTGGTTTTAAAAATGTTTTAATAGCGTTTAAATGCAATAGTGTGTTTCAAAAACTCAACGACAAGGGTTACCCAAAGGTTCCAAATGAACGCACGTCGGCGGTCCTTGATTGCAATGCTTATCTGACTCCAAGAGACCTCTGATTGGGAAAACGAGTCTGAGACGGTCAAGAAATCCGGCGTTGTGGACTCCACCAAAACTGATCGGCTGAAAACAACCTGATCCAGTCTGAGTGTGCGTGAAAATCCAAACAGAAAACTTTCCACAATATTCCAGAATGGAGGCCATGGCTATTAGGTTGGAGGCCATCGCTATTAGGTTGGAGGCCATCGCTATTAGGTTGGAGGCCATCGCTATCAGGTTGGAGGCCATCGCTATTGGGTTGGAGGCCATCGCTATTAGGTTGGAGGCCACCGCTATTAGGTTGAAAGCCATCGCTATTAGGTTCGAGGCCATCGCCATTAGGTTGGAGGCCACCGCTATTAGGTTGAAAGCCATCGCTATTAGGTTGGAGGCCGTCGCTATTAGGTTGGAGGCCGTCGCTATTATAGGTTGGAGGCCATTGCTATTAGGTTGGAGGCCATTGCTATTAGGTTGGAGGTCATCGCTATTAGGTTGGAGGCCGTCGCTATTAGGTTGGAGGCCGTCGAGGTTGGAGGCCATTGCTATTAGGTATATGGAGTTGTAGGGCTGTAGCCCTTGAATTGCTATCAGCACGCAAAGTCCTTAGCTGCGAATCAACGCTCCTCCCCGTGCCGAAGACGCCACGGCTTCCTGCACCTTAGTGAGATGGTCCATGACAGCCGAATCTGCCGGGCCGGAGGCCCAACCAAACCTAGCGGTAGGGGGATTGCGGGGCCTAGAAGGCCTACATTCGCGAAAATGCTCGCAATGCCACACCAAGTGCATCCAAGACGGTCTGAGTCTACCCTGACAGAAGGGGCCATCCTGCAAAGCACTGTCATACAAAGCCGGGGACACAGAGGCCCCCAGAGCAACGTGCCTTTAAATCCATACGCTTTCGCGTGAAGCCAATATCGACACAGCGAAAAAAACTGTTCCAAGTCTTCTTTTGAACGATCTTGCAAAAGCTGCGTGGCCTCATGTCTTTGACAGCGAAGCCACTGGACGAAAGCGTGCCACCGAAACTGCATTCTTAATTCATGCCTTTGAGCAGAGTAAGGTCAGAAGACCGAAAAAAGTTGCACCTCAACACCGCTGTAACAACGCCACGTCCAAGGGCGCACCTCACTGCAACCAATCCCTTTCAATTGTCTACGCAGCACACCAACAGGCGAAGCGTAAGAGTTGCACCAAGGTAAGTCAAGCTTACTCAGTGTGCCCCACAGCCGTTGGATCACCGCACTCACCAAATGAAGCGACCCACCGAAAAAAGAGCATGAGGAGCTATTTACTAGCCATCCGGGTCTTGCCACCAACAACGCGCCTGAAAGATTTCAGGAGGCGATCACCGGACCGGACGTGAGGGTGGGTGACCGACAGACCCAACCATAAGCCCCAATGCTCAAGACGAAGCATTTAAAAGCTTCCACTGCCCTAGTCCAAGGCAGAGACGCACCAACCAACAGCGAAGCAGCCCTCAGCCTTGTCCAATCTCTCCTGCTCACCATTCGTATATTTACGAACTTTGGACGCGGTAGAGACCCCAAGGGCCTTGACTTCAGGAACCTTCCACTCAGGCGGGCAAGGGTCGTTGTCAAAAGCATGCCGCGCACAAACCTGAGTCTTGCGATTGTTCTCCTTCAAACCAATCGAATAGGACGACCCCAACTTCATGCCAATCTTTCGCCCACCAAGTTCGGTCATCCATGTAAATGGAAGTACAGCTACGCTCAGCATTATGACCAAGGTTAGACTCAACCTTCCGCAGGCCAGCGGTAACCACAAAACCTAAGATCGTCGGGGCGACCGGACAGCCTTGCGGAACAGCGCGTCCAGAAGGGAGCGGAGCAGGGCTGGTGTGAGCCCCCCCACTGAACCCACCTAACCTGATTCGCCCAAACAGCCTGAAGCAGCGAAGCGAAACGAGGATCCCATCCACAGTCAGTAAGCGCCTGGCAACAGATTTCCGGGGACAAGCGGTCATAAGCCGCAGACCAGTCCAGAGATACAATGTAGCCATCCTGATCAGCATACAGCGCCTGTATGCGGGCGATCAAGCTTCAGTGGTCAACCCCGCCTTTCTGCAAGCAACCCTCTCGTCAAGAGACTGGCTCACCCAATCTTGAACATCCTCGGTCTGAAGCAGAGCTGCAGCAAAGGCGCGCCAAAAAAACCGACAACACGATAGGGCGTGTAGCGGCTGGATCAAGAGACCCATCACCAGAAACCTTACCTTCCTTGGCCAGGTTGACCATTCTGCTCTTAGTGAGCTGCCTGGGCACCGAACCAGACCGAAGCCACCTCTGAGTCAGCGTCCACCAAACCTGCACAGCATCAAAAGGCAGATGCTTAACCTCAGCGCTGTGCCATTGGTCTGGCCCGGCTGAACCCTTGCAATGCAGCAGCGCGCGATGAAGATCAGAGGCCGACGGACCAACCCAACGACCCGCAGGGCGATGCCCAAAGTCAGAAGCAAGTTGACGACTAAGCTCAGGAGACGCAAGCCAACCCTCGCTCCAAACATTCTCCCATGTTCGCGGATGAATCGCGCCGACTGCTCATGCGTTTCAGCTTCAACACCCTGCTGAACGAGCGTGACCTTACGAAAGACCATTTGTTTGCCCTTAATCCATTTGCCTAAGGCGCCGAAGGTACCCTCAGACAAAGAAGCCTTCCATTCACGCAAGCGACGCTGACGCAGCTGAGCTTCCATCCGCAACTGCGGCCATCGCTATTAGGTTGGAGGCCGTCACTATTAGGTTGGAGGCCATCACTATTAGGTTGGAGGCCGACGCTATTAGGTTGGAGGCCATCGCTATTAGGTTGGAGGCCATCGTTATTAGGTTGGGGGCTGTCGCTATTAGGTCATCGCTATTAGGTTGGAGGCCGTCGCTAATAGGTTGGAGGCCATCACTATTCGGTTGGAGGCCATCGCTATTAGGTTGGAGGCCGTCGTTAACAGGTTGGAGGCCGTCGCTACTAGGTTGGAGGCCATCGCTATTAGGTTGGAGGCCGTCGCTATTAGGTTGGAGGCCATCGCTATTAGGTTGGAGGCCATCGCT